ATCCTTCTTCTTTCTTCTTCTTATTCTTTCTCTCTCTCTCTCTCTCTTCTCCCTTCTTCTTCCTCTCTCAAACCCAGATCTGGGTTTTAGAAAAGCTGCTCCTTTCTTCGCTTGCTTTTCGAAACGACACTGATGTCCTCACCCGGCAATGCTTGCTTTCTGTTAGATCAAACTCCAATAAATAATCCATAAAATGCATCGACCTGCTCTATGTAACCAGACCTGAACTCTTCCCTATCAGAACTCGATTTTTTTTCTGCAATGACTCCAGCCGCATTAGCCGCACCACCACTCTTGGATCAGCACTAGCACTAGCTGCAACCTAGAGTTGGATCTTACCCTGATCAACAAACTCGATTACCCTCCTCCGTTACCCCTAATTCCCGTCCCTTACTTGTCCATGAAGACTGTTGGTTTGAAGAGGCCACGTCCACCCTCGTCAATGCCTGGGGACGCTTGGGGCCGCCTGGGTTCGGCATCGATGGACGATGGGTATTTTAGAAGAAATTATTCAGCCCTTGCTGCAGCTCTAGTAGCAGCAGAGAGTGAAGAGGAAGAAGTAGGTGAAAGCGAGGGAGAACAAAGTGATTAAGGCGAAGGGGAAGAGAAGGAAGGTATAGATCTGGTTTCGTTCTTTTGCTTATTTTGTGTTTCCTATGTGTATTTTCTGAGTTGATTCGGTGGTTTTCGTGTTGATTATTTTCGAGATTAGATCTGCAGTTGGCTTGTATGTAATTTGGCTCGAATCGCTTTTTTTCTAGAAATTCTTTACTCTTTTTAATCTATGTTCCTTTTTATTAGTTGGATTAGGAGATCTTGGCTTTGCTGTTTAGTATATTCAAGATTAGTTTCCATGTTATGTGATGAAACCCAGATCTGGGTTTGAAAGAGGAAGAAGAAGGGAGAAGAGAGAGAGAGAGAGAAAGAATAAGAAGAAGAAGGAAGAAGGATGAGCAAGGAAAGGAAAGGAGGAAGAAGATGAAGTTTGAGAGAGAACCCAGATCTGGGTTTTGCAAAGGTAAGGGAAAAGGAAAGGTAAAGGAGAGAGAAAGTAAAAGAGGAAGAAGAGATGACGTGGATCGAAAAAAAGGATATCAAAAATTTTAAATTAAATAAAAATGCCACTTCATAAAAAAAGATGGCCAACTGTGTTTTTTGTTTTTCCATGTCATTAGTCAAGCAAAAAAAGAATTGATTTTGTGGTATTTTAACATGTCACCTATCATTTAATTGACGGAAGGACCATTTTGGTTTCGAAAATGAAAGTTTAAGGATAATTTTGATACTTTTTAAAGTTGAGGGATAATTTTGATGCTAAAAGAGAAAGTTGAGGGACCAAAATGATACTTTAACCCCATAAAGCGGTGCTGCCCTTAGGGGTGGGCAAAAATCGGTTTTGGTTAAAATTGAAATTAGTTTTAAAATAACCAAATTTTTTTTTTCAATTTTGAGTATCAAAACTGAACAAAAGTTTTCACAAATCGATGGTTTGGTTACTAATAAAATTGATTTCGTTTCAGTTTTTACTAAATAAATATTAATCAATTATTTTTTTAATAATAGATTATATTTTATATAATATTTTATCATATTTATCCCAATTTTGGTTTTCAAGAAGCTTATTTTAGGTTTTTAGTTTTTAAAAAGTTCAACCGAAATCAAACCAAAATTTATTTAGTCAATATCAAAATCAAAACAATAAAAATAAAAAACCATTAAAATCAAACCAAATTCATTTTTTTGGTTCAATTTCCGAGTAACCCTTCGGTTATCCACCCGAATGCCCACCCCTAGCTGTCCCATTCAGTTTTTTTTTTTTTTATCAACTAAATAAAATTTTTTATTAATATAGAGTACAAGGGGTACTCTAACCCATATTTACAATACTCCCATCATCGTTATCAAAATTTCACTTACTTTTTACAAAATAAAAAACAAAATTAAGCTTTACATAGAGCTGAAAAGTGGCACCAATCACTATAATTGAACATAGCAGATTTAGATTTCCCCTTTATCCAACCAAAGGTCTTTGTTAACACTAACTCAAAGATAGTATTTTCATTCCAAGTAAGGTAGTTAAACACTATACCATTATGAAAATACCAAATGGCCCATGCTGTTGTAACAATAGAAAGCACCCAACAACTTTGAGATTTTATGCCAGGCTTAAGTGAACAAAGTTGCAAAAATAACTGAATGGTATTGGTGACCAATTACCAGCACACCTACAATATTTTGCATGAAACATGACTGGTATTTGCATCTAACAATACACTTACTATAACATTT